AGAGAGAGAGAGAGAGAGAGAGAGAGAGAGAGAGCTGGTGTAGGGAATTGTAGGCTAATAAACGGTTAATCCATAGGACTTAGAGCTCCAACAATTCATTGTTCACATAATAAATACCGATCACCTAATTATGTCATTCATTGTCTACAATAGCGGTTACAATAGACCGGTATTAATATTTAATATTAATTATTTTATAATAGTTGTTACGAGCATTAGGCTTGATAAAAAAAAGTTATCTACTTTAATGTTTATTGATTATTTAATAATTAAACATGTAGATAAATCGGAGCACGCACTTTTTTGTGCCATACATCCCATTTCCTTATAAGTTATTTCTTTATATAAAAAAGTTTATACCACTTATGATTTGATCGACTATTAAAGGAGGATGCCCATCTGTGTGTTAGCGGGCACTTTGGATTTATTGTTATAAAATGAAAGTACACTCAATATGTAGTCGAGTGATATACTTTATATGTCCAGATACTTTCTGGTCTGGCCGTAGTGACCACTTTTATCGGTAAAATTTTGAAAATCAAATCTTTTATTTTATAAATAACCATAGCATATTATATATCAATGGAAAGGTATTCATAATAAATACCGATCACCTAATTATGTCATTCATTGTCTACAATAGCGGTTACAATAGACCGGTATTAATATTTAATATTAATTATTTTATAATAGTTGTTACGAGCATTAGGCTTGATAAAAAAGGTTATCTACTTTAATGTTTATTGATTATTTAATAATTAAACATGTAGATAAATCGGAGCACGCACTTTTTTTGTGCCATACATCCCATTTCCTTATAAGCTATTTCTTTATATAAAAAGTTTATATCACTTATGATTTGATCGACCATTGAATTTGCTAACAATGCACAAAAAATGTTTTTTATTTTTCTTACATTTTAATTAAAATTTTCTATTAATTTTTAATAACGCACTTTATTTTATTTTTGTTCTTTATTTTAACAGGGTCACACAACTATCATCATACTTTCCCTCAAGTAAGCCTATTATATAATTTAAGGCAAATATTCACATTGTTTCATATTTATTGCTAATATTGATATAAAATATCACATGATATTTGTAAAGAATTTTATATCATGTGAGAATTTTTTAGTAATATTATTTTTGTGATACTTAAAAATATGCGGAATATTCTGTCGGTTTGTTTTTCAATATAAATTTTATTAAATATTATTCTTGTTTATATCAGACTATAATCCGGTATATATTTGTCGACTACTAGACAGTGAATAGAGTATTGAAAAATATGATAGGATTATGGAAATGAGCATGGCATGTCTAACATGCATAGATAAACAAGTTGAATATTATTTCACAAGTAACACTTTAAACATTTAGTATAAGTGCTATTGTGTTCATAATATAAGTTTAGGATATAAGTAGAGATCCATTTGAAATAGTTTTTTAAAATATATTTTATTAAGTTTTATTTATAAATTTTAATTAAAAACTTTTATGTTTATATTCAATTAATTTCGTTTATAGATATTTCTTGCATTATGTTTAGTCAAAATATATTATATTATTCTATTGAATATTTTGGGATTTAATTTCTGATGAAACTCACTATTCATTGAGTCCTTAGAATTTATGTTCAAATTGAAAACTATAGCATTTAATTGAAATTTATGGTTAAAAATAAACTATCTTTTCATAAAACATTTTTACATATTGAATATATATAAAGGCTTAGTGTCTGCCAATGCCAGGAAATATACCCTTTTATTATGAATATCAATGAGTGAGTGAGTGAGTGAGAGAGAGAGAGAGAGAGAGAGAGAGAAAGATTACAAAAGCATAAATATAACCCAGAAATCACTATACATTCAAATGAAATCATGTGAATAATAACTAACAGAATATTCCGCTCACAGAATATCGTATAGTATTTAAAGCCAAATGAAAACTAAGCTCTTATTTCCCTCTCACACTAAACACTACTTTACATACGAGACGTTGTGTTCAATATATTAACGCGAATTCTGGCCATAAGTTTGGGCTAAAATTCCTGTTTGTATCCAATATTTCCATAGCATTTGATTAAATATATTCATACCATTTGCTAATACCGTCTTTCCATATGACTCTCTCTCTCTCTCTCTCTCTCTCTCTCTCTCTCATAAATAGGATTACAGTTCGAGCGAAAAGAAATGCTGGGAATTCTTCAACCCGGCGACAATGTTCATCGATCTGAACGCATGTCTCGGTCTGGCCTACGATCTCAAAAAGCCGACCAAAGAGTCGGTCCAACACGTGATTCAACGCAAAGGACTGCCCGACTATTTCCATAAAGACAACACCCGTGGACTGCCCTACAGAATATTCTACGGCCTAACCGACTGGGTGTTTGGTCTGTTGTTTGCCATGTGGCCCATTTGGCCCATCTTGCTTTTCAAACTGTTCACTGGCCAAGAGGTTTTTGTCCACTAAATTCACCTCCATTTAAATCTACCCATGGTCATCAGATGGGAGGGGAACATGTATTGCAAAAACACACCATTCAAACGGTGCCAAATATTTTTTTTTGTGTATCTCTTAGTATTTTTTATGATCATTATATTGAATATAAATTCGTTGTGTTTTAATAGCTTAATGTTTTGATTTAATTATCGCTTTAATTAATAAAATTCATATTACTGTATATAAGCATGATTTGCTTTAATTAGGCATTTTATTATTAAAATCTGAGCCATATATAATTGTTTTAATTAATAAATACCTAGGTTACGTCAAATCTAAAAATATTTTCTAATTTATTTGTTTTATTCTTATTTCTTTTTCTCAATAATTAATCTTCTTTATAGTTTAGTTATTATACAAATATTTAATATAATATAAAACTATTTGTATTAATTATTTTGTATTTTATCATAATTTTATTGACTATGAAAATAGCATTCTCTCAATTGTTATATCATTTTTTGCCTTAAGTTGTGTCCAATTTATTATTAATAAATGTCGCGAATTCTGTATATAAAGTAAACATTAAATTGTGTATAAATATAGGGATTGAGAAGTTATTTAACTGTAAACCTAATATATTATTAAGTTACATATTATAAATAAATTTTCACTTTTATTTGTAAACTAGTTTAGCAAAATATTTGGTCAAAATTTTATGTTGAAAATGTATATTCACTATTTATTTCAACCATGTTTTAGACCAGTTTATTAAAACCAGACAATTAAAATGTTGAAATAAATAGCTATCATTAATAACTCATTAATAAATCTATCAATATTATTTATAACAATAATCATTAATAATTAAATTATAATGACAAATATATTTAAACATTAAAATCTGTAACTAATTATTCTACTTGATTAATTGTAAGTAAATTGTTAAATTAAAATAACTAGTTTATTATTAATAGCATAAATGTACATTCAGGAAAATAAAATCTATCAGAAATAATATTGTAGTACATTATATCAATTATCATAGATTTTTGTCATATGTTATAATGCCTAAGGATATAGTGCTTTGAATTTATATATAACTCTTGATATTTGCATTTACTTATAACTGTATGACTACTTTATTTAGTTCACAATATTATTAATGTATTTCCGTTAATAATAATAATAATAATAATAAATGGGTAAACATTTTTTTGCATGCGTACACTATTCACAATTAATTTAGGTGTTTGTAAAGCAGATTAATTTTTAAGTTAACTGTTAATACTTTTATATATTGTGTAGTAAAAGTCACATTTTATCTTCAATAAAATTTTTAATTAAAATTGTGATTTTTATTTAAGATTATCATTAAATCTTTAATTAACAAAATTAATTAATAATGTTTTAAAAAATTGACAAAATATTCCGATAAATATTATTTAGGAATATGTTTATATATTTAATGAAATTTATGTTTTACTAAATATAGTAAATTATATTATAGCTATACTACTGTATGATAACTAAATTATTATCCTGATAACATTGTAAACAAATAAAATATTTATGATAAAAATAACTGCAAATTACTTATTAAAGACAAAATGTTTTTAAAAATAGCAAAAATATCTTAAATAAAAGTTCCAAAAGCATTGTTTCGGTCTAAAACCCCATTTAAATGACAATACATTAATACAAATACAGTTATTACCGGTAAAACAATAATTTAATATTTAATTAAATAAAATAATTAAAAATCAATGGCAACAACAAACAAAATAAAACAATCCAGGCTAAATGCAAGGGTTGCAGTTCATTTAACATGGCTAATTGATGGGAATGGTCTATGTGCATGTGTGTGTGTGTGTGTTGTGCCAATTCATAACCACTTGTTGACAGCGCACAACAATATAAAATACAGCACAACCTTATGCTAAGCCTTTTTGTGTTAGCGAATCAAATTAAACTAGTTATCATTTAATGAATAATTTATTTGTTTGCCTACACTAATGCCATTAATGGTAATTCAAATGAATCCATGTGATTTGATGACCATTTGTTTGAATTACCGTACTTTCTCTGTTTGTTTTGCATACCGACTGCGAAATAATTGAAATTAATTGTTAATTAAATGACAGAATTATTGGCAATTTATTTATATTTGAATTTTAATTCGTATTTAAAACTGTTTTAATTGAGCAGAAATTTGTTGAAAATATTTTGTTTAATTAAAATATTTCGCAATCATTTGTGTTAACGCAGCGAATAATTTACAATTATTTTTATTTTATTAGATATTAGTGCATAAATAGAAATAAATATTAATTAATTCACTGGGAATTAAGTGATATGTTTGTGAATTCATTGAAAAGATTATTATATTTAAAATTATTATTATTATTGTTATTTTACAGAATCCTATTGTGTTTTAATATATCAAATACTAACGGAAACCTACACAACAATTACATGCATATGAAATATTGGACGAAAATGACGTGAACTTATAATATTTAAATATGAATTTATGATAACATGTAATACACTATTCGTCGGATGATATAATTTTTCAAACAAATATGTTTTATAATCTAATTATATTTTGCGCTCAGAGAGAGAGAGAGAGAGAGAGAGCATAAATGTAACGATGATTTAGTGCTGCAATTGCTGTTAAGAGATAAATGGATGGAAAATTGACTGAAAATAAAAGAATATTCTGTATATAAAGAATATTCTCTTAATATATAGTAAAAGAGAGAATGAAATAGACATAGAATTGGGATCTTTTGGAGAAAAATAATTGAATAGATTTTAAGAGACAAAGAGATGGAGTGAATGGAGTGCTGGGAATCAAAGGGAAAAACTAAAGCAAAAAATAAGTTATTATAGAGTTTGAGAGTTGAGGGAAGAAAAGGGATTAAAACGAGACATTTATTGGGAAATATACTTATGGGAGCGCAGTCTCATCGATACCTACACTATTTCTCTCTCTCTCTCTGAGCGCAAAATATAATTAGATTATAAAACATATTTGTTTGAAAAATTATATCATCCGACGAATAGTGTATTACATGTTATCATAAATTCATATTTAAATATTATAAGTTCACTTCTCTCTCTCTCTCTCTCTCTCTCTCTCTCTCATAGACAGCTGAATATATAAAAACAGCATTTTGACCACAAATCCCGATATAAGCAACGCTCGTATGTATTCACATAATATAATCAATCAATTAATGTCAACACAATAATATACGGCACACAAAAAAGGCATACATAAGCCTAACATAATCGCACCATTGAAGCCATACAAATAACACATACCTTCGCCCATTGATAAATAAACGACCAAACGGTTCTCAGTCGGTCTCATCTCGTTGTTATACGGCCTGTGGTTTAACAAATCATGTCATTTAGTTAACTATAGTTAATAAACTATTATATTTTTACAAAGTTGCATGCGCTATTTAATTAAAAAATCTTATGCTAAATGATTGTAAATACTTATACTGATGTTAATTAGACCAGGTAATTTTGAGTTATTATCTATTGATAACTATTAAAATTGAATCGCTATGCTACATGCTATAAGATTTAATCTAGGTCAATTTAAATTCATTGCTACAAAACTCAGCCATAAAACTAGCGAATATTCCCTCAAAAGTTACAAAATAAAAATAATAATCACAGAATAGTGAGCGCTCTCTATAGTGAACACATGATGATAAGCCACAACCAGGAAATAAAATTAACTTTATAAAAATACATCACTAAAAAATATGCAACTTAATTATTAAACCAATTCACAATTCTAACCCAAAATAAATACACTATTGATCATGAACAATCATTTAGCGCAAAATTACCAATATATGCATAGACCACATACCTATCGCCCCAGAAATGGCTGACAGAGTTAACGGTAAACAAGTGGTGCAGAACGACAACTGTGCGGAGACAACCGCACACCAGGAATGCGGTCAACAAACTCTCTGACCAGCAATAGTAGGGTATAAGCGTCGGCACCGCGAACCCGAACAACACAACCAACGGGTAATACAACTTGTGCTGATACCTGACCACCCAGTCGTCGAGTAAATCATCAAAATTTAATTTCTGACCATTTTTGATCACTTCGGGCCTCTTCTTCAACATCCACCACCCGATGTGGGCGAAGAAAAAGCCACGGCTCGGGTTCTTGGGATCAGCTTCGGTCTCAGACCACTTGTGGTGAGTGCGGTGGTCGCGGGCGTACGAAAACACACTGCCGTTGACTGTCATTGTCTGGAAAAGTGCCAGAAATATCTTCAACGGGAGTCGGGCTTTGAACGACCGGTGAGTCCATAGCCGGTGAGCGCCGACACTCATCCCGAAGCCGGACAACAGGCCGATGACACTGACGAACACAAGTGTCCAGGTCTTGACGGGATTGACCAGAGCGTGACAGTAGGCGTATAGCGTTAGCGCGTGGATCACAATCAGCCACAAGATGTTTGTCCATTTGATTTGCGCCAATCGGTAGCCGAAGATTGTTAGCTGTTTTTTGTCGGCGATTAGCTCTTCAGCGGTGACCGCTTCCGGCGCCACGGGTTCGCTCAACTCGACCACAAAGTCGGCCGAACTGCCCGAAGATGATTGGTCGCTGTGGCTGCCGGTGCTCAGGTTGTCCGGGTCGTCCACTTTAGACGCTTGGATCAGTTCCATGATCTTCTTCTCTGAATCCATGGTTTAGTTATGTTTTTTAAGTACTTTTTTAGATTTATTTTGACGTTTTTTGGTTGTTTTAAAACACTTTTATTATTAAATTGTTTCACAAATAAACACTTGAAAAGTGTTTTTGAATATTTTATTGTAAAATATATTTAAAGCAATTTTTATCTGTTTTTCAGAGACTTCTCATTTGTCTTTTGTCAAAATAATTGTGAATTACATTCTTTAAAATATATGAAAAGTTCATTAAGTGCCTATTTTGTTTTTTATTGTTAAAAGAGTGAATTATCACTTCATATAATATTAAAAAACTGCGATTAAATATTCAATATTGCCGTACGTTTAACATGTATACCAAAAAAATTACACGTATAAAACTTTTAAAGGCTATAAAACCTTAGACTATAGTCACAAAAATTTTCAATACAAAATTTTTTCGTCGAAATAAATAAAAATAAAGTAAAGTTTACTTTCGTTTTCAACACAAGTTTTGTTTTATCGTGAGTTATCTGTCCAGAAATACTAATAATAATACTTATTCTTTATCCAAAACTCTGTTTGGTCCTTAACTTACTAATTTTACCAGTGTTTTTTGCCAATGCTTTTCACTTTCAATATAAATCCGGTCTTACGTTACACTTAAAAAAAAGTAAATTACATTTAAATGTAGTTTTTTTTAGTGAAACAAAAATAACAAAAATTACTGCATATCCTATGCCTAAAACTTAATTTGATTTTTTCAGTGAAAGTGCATTTGGGAAATACATTATACTTACAGTAGTATACACTATACCGGGAGTACACTATTCGTGACCTAAAAACCTATTTTGCATCCAAAAATGTACTAACATTTAAAATATATGTTCAAAAATAGTCACTCTCTGTATATACCTGTTATGCATGTCTTATATAACATAAAGTATTAATAGCATCGCATCTCCCTATCCCTTGCCATTAAGCGAAAGCATAGGTAGTTATGAAAACACAGTTATGTACAGTAAACCGGTATACAATCCATACATACTGTGCATATTCTGGTCATTCAACTTAAACGGGAAAAGCAAATACTATTTTCTTATTGAAAGACACTTTCATTTTTATCCTACATTTAGACTTTAACTAGTTTTGAATTTTTTTAAGTAAATACATAATTAATTAAATTCACTCTCACTTTCATTTGATTCAAACCAAAATACACTTCCCTTTAATCCAAAGTCCCAAACTTAAAGTACATACAGTGAATATCTTTAACCGGTAAACACATTTAAAAACATAAAATGAAAGTTTTTATTTATAAATGAAATTTAAAGAGTCGTAAGAATAGCTCTTAATGTGAATCTCATTATCGATTGAATTGTTATTAATTTTATTCAACATTTGCTGACATTTGTGCCAAAACTGTTTGTTTCGTATTTTAATCACAGATTTGTGACAATAAATGCGTTTATCGTTGAATACAAACACCAAATCGTAATCCCATGTCAACTGTACTGAACATACTCTGCATATTCTGGTTATTCAACTCAAAAGTGGATCAAAACTAATACTATTTTCTCATTGAAAGACACTTTCATTTTTATCGTACAATTAATTTAAAACTAGTTTTGATTTTTGTTAATAAATACATAATTAGTTAATTCACTCTCACTTTGATTTGATTCAAACCGAAACAAACTTCCCCTTAAATCCTGTCTCTCAATGGCATTTGTTTTTGCCAAACGCTTAAAAAGGGGACAAAAAGTTATGTAATATTTGTTTGGTTACGTAATCAATGAATGGCTCTCTCATAGCGTTTGACTTCAAAAGTTTTGAATCAAAACAATAATTGATTTGTTTTATGAATGAAATCATTGAATGAATGGATTGTTTGTCTGTTTTGCAAACGTTTCCCGATTTGTGTCAACCGGTGGTCACAAGCGATGGTCACAAACACGGCGTCAAAGTAGTGGCCGTTTTTGGCAGAGATGGCGAAGAAGTGATTGTCGTCACCGCCGATGACCGCGTCCTCGGCTTCGGTGCCAACCGTTTCGGTCGACTCGGACTC